AAACAACATTTGACTTCAACCCAGTTCTGTCAACCTGGCCGCTCTTCATATTTCAGCCTATCTCAAAATTCACATGTGTACCGACACTGCAGGAAGCAGCCAATGGCAGGCCAGGGAGGAAATGATCTTGGAAGGCTGTCAGGCAGCAAGCAGTGAATGACCATATATGGTAAAATCTGCAGTCAGCAGGACTGAGCGCCAAAGGCAGAGACAACTGAGCAGTATAGAGGTCTTGAAACTGACCAAAGTATGGGGGAAGACCTGGATATCTTGCAAACCCAGGGTATTTTCGTGTGACAAGTGCTGCTTAGTTAGCTGTCAAATGGTGTATGTGAGACAGAAAAGAAATAATGTGTCACTGTGCAGTGTGCACACACCCATGGATTACTAACAGCAAATATTGAGCACTGGATGAATGGTGCATTGAGGGTACAGAGGCAGCATGTGATGCACCAACATGGAACATGCCTTCTACATTAGGCAATTCTCTGTGTGGTGCTGGGACTGTAGTTTAAGCCTGTTTTATATACAAAGGAGGAAGTTAGAGAGGCTAACACTCGACAACACCGTCTGCATGGAAATAAAGATGATAGCTAAAACACGCCAGACAGAAAGGCATTTTTAATAATGGCATACTTTTAATAATTTAGGGAATTCTAGTAAAGGGGTATAAATCACAACAATTGTAATGTGTAATGATTTACACTGAGCAGGAATTATCAGGAATGTTTGACTAAACACTTGGTAGCTGCTGCATTCGCTCCCACAGCTTCCTTCATATGGAAATCAGGGAATAAATTAGCAGGCATTCAGTAAAGAAAAAGAAAGGGAGAGATTGAAAGCATGAGGGAAAGGAATGACATGTGCTGAGACCTCTATATAAATCCCCTGTGTTCCAACTGAAGGAAGCAACAATGCTCATGGCTGTGCTGAGTCACAGCGGGTGGCCACGCTAACCTCACCCTTCTGAGTCACAAGTTTCTTTTAAAAAGAGATCCTTCCATATTGGCGTTTAGTTGGCCCTTATTTATGGCAGTTTTGTCAATTTACACAGAACCTTGTGTTGTTTTTACAGATACCCACATCTTAGTATTAGACCTGTGATGTTTAACATGACGTATAACACAAATGTCAGAAAAACAAATCATGCAGATAAAATTGTTTTCAAATTAACAATGGCAGATGAGCAGAGTAGGAATGTGCATTTGCTCATCCTGCACATTTTCAAAATGATTCTGACTAAAGCCTGTTGTGCAGAGTTTACAACATGTTGAGGATTTTGATCACAGATTCTGTTTCTTGCAACCAGTGTTAAAATTTAAATAACTGGTAGCACATCACTGAAACAACAATTCATCAAAACAACACAACCCTCTGCCCACAACTCCCAAGTGTGGTAATGACAAAGCACCTCATGGGCAGAATAAGGGAGGGTCAACACTGAGCCCCCATGCCAGCTTGGTACCTTCTATATAGAAAAGGATGACGTAAAATTGGAGCAATAATCCCATCTTGAATGGGCAATGTAAAAGAGGCTACATAATAAAGCAAATTCCGGCGTAGTGACATTAACCAAGTGACGCACAATGGGCCAAGAAGCATTTTTCTTTCCATACACAAGCAATAGAAAAGGAGTGGCTGTATTGACAAATACATTTTTCTGAGCACCATACCGTGCAAAAAGACTTTATTATTGGACTTTGATCCATTTGGTACAATGACATTTGGAACAGCTTTATGATCATGCCATTTTATCTCATTAACGTGTGTGGAGGGCCAACAGTAAAACTACACTCACATTACAGGCGTTAATGTTCAATTCTGACCTTTTTGTGTTGATGGTTAACATTCATGTTTGTGACATCCAGCTCCAATGTGAACACCACTAATGTTCTAAACGGCAACACATGCGTAAATGTGGATGTGACTCACTTTGCAGAAGCATGGGAAAGCCCACACAAACATGAACGTTCTTCAGAATATGCACGAAATGAGCAACTTTCATGGGAATAAAATAGGTGCCATCTTTGAACGTGGTATCTGGTTCTTGTTAATATGTCCATGGGTTGAATGAGCCTCAGACCACTGGTTGGATCACAGATCTATAACATCAACTTCTGAACTTCACCAAATGCTTCTCCATTCATTTCCACACACAACGAGGAGATTTTTGGGAACAGAATCAGAGGGAGAGCAATGCTTTTTTAGTAATTCCCCTACTGTTGTGGCATCACTACAACAAGGATGGTGCACAGTCAGCTTAATTATTAAAGGGGAAAGAGCATCATCACGCTTCTGCCTCCCCCTACTTGAAGTGTGGTAATGACAAAGGCCTGCTCTGGGAGTAAGTGCAGGACAAAGGCCCTGAGCAGCTGGCTGCCCCCAGAGACAGAGCAACACAGAATAGGCAGATGGGTTAGCTGGACAGATGCAGCCTCATATGAGGGACAGGAAAGGGGGGGGGTTAGGAGATGTGTGTCTTTGCAACAAAATTGAAATGGTAAAGCACAGAGTGACAAAAGCTCAAAGTAGAACAGAGTTAACTCAATAACCCACAGAACAGCACATTGATTCACTCACAAATTACTTAAATGATTAATAATTTAGAGGCCACATTATAATATTTGTTTATTCAATTTAATAGAAAAGATCTGGTGTTGAAAGCAACTCTGTTTTACTGATCCACTGCAGTGCGGTCTAGTTATACCATTTGCAAGTACAGACTTGCCCTACTTTTGAGACCTGCATTGCCAGCTAAGGCTATACTGAGACTTCCAGATGGACCTGATTTGTCAGAAAAAAAGTCACTTGAGAATAGCATGGTGAAAATGCCAAAAATACATGTACACAATTATATTTCTAGATTAATGACAATTTAATTTCTGTGTCCCAACAACTGACTTTATCTGATATGAGCTGTCATCCTGCTGTCCAAAGTCACAACAATCTATAGTTCTTAAGTAAAATGATATTTTCCTTTAAGCTTCAGCTTGTCAGTGCAATGGCCTGTGGAAATGAAGAAAACGCTGTAAAGTATCTGAAGTATTAGTCTGTGTCTGCCTGCTTGCGAGTGGGAAGATCTAAAAATCAAGAGTTTTTTTTTTAATCTCTCACTTGAGGAAATTGCTTGAGGTTTGCTCTACATGTAAAGACCTCAGCCTCCCAGAACTTTTTTAATTCAGCTGTGAAAGTAGACTTTGTACAGCAGAAACATCATCACTGTAGTGGAACATGGCATGCAGTGGGCAGCTCATTCAAACACAGACACAGAGAGGAGCGCAGGAAAATTCAGCTGTGAAAGTAGACTTTGTGCAGCAGAAACACAGACACAGAGAGGAGCGCAGGAGGATTGTGAAACCGGTCGAGCCTGCAGCCCGCCTCCAGTACACGCTCTGCACTCAAAGGTGCTGAGAGGTCTAAGCTGTGTGATGACAGGAGCAGAGATCCAGTCTCCTATGCCAGAGCATTCTCAAATGACATGGCAGTATATTGGTGTACACAAACCGGCGCATGTTAAATCTGTCAACAGTACTGCAGTACTTGTGTCGCTCACATTGTCAGGACCTGCCACTTGGCCACTGTTCACAGCTGCCAAACAGAAATGACCAAAAGACCAGCAGCCAGAAATTCACCACTGTCAGCCATGACGGCACCCCAGGATTCTCTCTGAGGGACATGCTCTGACATGGCTGGATTCAGTGTGAACTCTGCTGCACCTTAATTCGACCTACTATGTCAACGGGGTTAAAACAAAAGGGATGGGTGTATTCAGCCAGCTGATGTTTTCAGCCAAACACTGAAATGCTGTCTTGCTCAACCTAAGTGTAATTCTAGTTGGAGTGGAACGATGCCTTATATGGAGCCAAGAATCAGGAGACCATTTGCTCTGAGGCTTTGGAGTAGTTTCTGTTGCAAACATGAGCATATGTGGCACAGCCCACTGGTAAACATTAATCCCAAGGTACACAGACATGAGGAGTGAGCGGTCTGGCTTGTCTGAGGTAAACTCTTCAATGCAAATGATTATTTACTGTACACAAAGCGTGGAAAATACACCGTTGCTCTCAAAAACAAAAAACAAAAAAAGGAACCAAGATTTTTAGTTCAACTATATGAGTTTTACATTCATGCCAGTCTAAATAGGATCACTCAGAGAGTCTGGCTTTCCTTTAGGTCATCACGGACATGAAAACAATATCAGGATTCCCCCGACCCTCCTCCAATATTTGGTTCACTTAAAATCATCTGGCAGTTTATATAAGAAAAAAAACATCACATGCATAACTGCACTCAAACAGCACATGATACCTTTAAGACCACAGCTTTATGCCAAGTGCCCCATGTTCCTTGGAATGAAAAGGAAACATTTTAGCTTCAAACCATGCTCTATTAGATGTTTTGGCCTGGCCTGATGGTAAACATAACCATCAGATGGCAAGATCACTGCAAATGACATTGTTCACCCACACATTTATGAGTTTAGCTGAAGAATGCAATCTCAAACTCTAGTTATATCAAACTCAGATGTTCACATCACCTCACAAACCTGATGTTCTGGCTAGAACAGCCGCCTAAAGGAGAATTCTGCCATTTTCAGAGCCTTAACCAGTCAAATGTGCAGTTTGTCAGGCAACTGGTCATTAAAAACAAAAAGGGCCTAAATGTGTACTAAAAATATCAATCTACTTTCACGTTTCATGCAATTTATTTCATGTCTGAGGTTCACCTGCACCCAGCTGGTGACCAAAAAACATGTCATGAAAGCAAAAAAAAAAAAAAAGTGCTCTAGTAAACCAAGCAAAGAAGCTACTTGCACCCCACTACCAACAAGTGATAAAAACCACCTACAACCACTGAAGAGTCAGGCACTCAGTGTGTACTAATGATGTATCATGAAAAAGCAGTATGAAAAGCAAAGTAAAAAGCATCCGGTTTTCTTAAAAGGCCAGCTCTGCCTGCTTATCCAATGTGGCATTAATTACTATATTACACACACTTACCTTGTGAAGAGGGAGAACAAGGAAAGCTCCACCACCACTGGCCTCAATAATTATGGCAACAAATTTGGGGTTGACCGCACAGAAGGAGCTGTCCCATGTGACCCTTGAAACCCGGATATCATCGTAGCATTGGTCATTCTTCAACGCCTGGCCGAAGACGTGACGGAATTTGCTCTGCCGTACAACTCGTCTCATATCTGTGGAAAAGGCAGACAGGAAGAGTTCACATACATCATCTGGCAAATTAAGTTAAAGACATACAAGTGTATAAATGAAGACAATCAATATGTTTAAAAATTAAACAGCCACAAAACAACAGGAACACAGAAGACTGCAAAATACAGTAAATCGACACAGAGCTATGTCAAAGAGAACGGAAAACATCCCATTGGAGAAAAGCTGATATAGACTGAGCATTTTTACCACTACACATTGTCTTTGCAGATGTGTTTGACCTTTGTAAAACACCACTAGTTGTTACTTCAAGGGTCTCCCTGGTTATCATGATGCTGGTCATTTCAAAGTAGAGTGATACCAACATGTGCTGCAGACTGAATATGAATTTAACATCCCCTCTTGGAAGTGAGAGAGAATGGTTTTGTTTCACAAGCAGCAGTACATCACAGTCCACTAGCAAAACTTATTATTGTGTTATAGTATTTTCTGGTGAGCACCTCCAACCTTCAAAATGGTTACAAATAATAAAGTGTATAATAGTTCAAACAAACCTGCTTGATGTGTAACATGAATTCAATTTTGCATCAGTGACTAGTTGTTTCTCATCTTCATTCGTGCCAAATACTAAACATCTGAAATAGTAATGTGCTTTATGTGTAGCTCCCTTAGAAAAGAGCCACTTTCAAAGGAAAAAATGGACATACCCAAACCAAGTAAAAACAAACTGTGTGGCTGGTTCAGCTAAAAGCTTCACCAAGACAAGAATCTGCTGGCAGACCCACTGCACTGCTTAATAACAGACCACTTCCACAGATAACGGAAAGCTGGCCAGCTTCAGATAAACGACCTGAACCAAGGTCCAATTTAACCTGCAACCTAAAGAAAGCCAAAAGCTCCTAAGTGGTTTTGTGATGCTCCTCAAATCTTTTATTTTTTGATACAGAAGGTGGTAGCAGTTGACCAGCCTGAGTCACCAACATGACCATAACAAGGCACAGGATGTAGGACATTATGGAAGTGGTTTTCCATTCTGAGCACACATCTGTGTTTGTGTGTGTGTGCATGCACAAAGGAGAGAGAGAGAGAGAGAGCCAGAGCAAAAGAGAAAGAATAAGTGCAACAGAGAAACGCTTCCATAGCATGTTTCTGGCAGGACAAGCCGGAAGTTCTTCCTGTAGTGAAGAGGGAAGGTCCTAATGGCCTCCTGTAAAACACAACACTGATTAAAGCTGCTTACTTCTGATATCTCCGAACACCAAAGGTGAACTACAAGACGAATCTGCTGGAATTAAATAAAATTGTTAAAAACACTTAAATACTAATCTTCCTTAAACTGAAGTGTTACACAAGATCCTATAATTCCTCCCCTAAATTTATCTGGATCAGAAGTCTCTCTCTCTAGGAAATGGAATTTGATCACTCCAGGAAAGGCAGACACAGACCATGAGTATATGAACAGTCTACACAGGTCCTGGTAGATACACTGCAACTTCAAAAAAAAGGACGCCAAATTAATTTTAAGAAATTGACACACTGACAAACATGTAGAGATACGTATTCTCTAATTTCATAGCATGTCTACAGCAGCCAAGAAGCAGCCTTTTGCACTCGTGAAAAAACTAATCAGCTACAATTACTTTTCAAGTATGACAAAATGAGAAAAGAGTTGTCTAAGGCCCTTAAAATAATACAATGGTAATTTGGGGTAACACTCAGCAAAACCAACTCTGTTATGAGAGCTGATGCTAGTTTGCTTACACTTAGAGCTACACATACAGCCTGGTTGGAACAGAAGCTACATGTGAACAGAGGCCTAAATCAGCTACCTCTCCAGTGGTAGACTTAAAAACTGTGTCCAAAAACCTCCAAAAAATATTTTGGTTATGGTTTGCACAGAAAGTGCTGCTGCTGCCTTCTTCGTTACTGGATGTTAGGTTTTTATTCTATTGATTGACCCTGGCTCCTTTAATTACATTGAATATATTCTCATTTTCCTACTAACATATTGTAAATCATGTAATTCTGCTGTGGCTAAAACTCTAGGGCCAGATTCACACAAACAATTGCTCCGTTTTAAAACAATGCAAGCAAAGGCCTGTGTTGGTGGGAGAACATTTTGAGTTACTAGTGAAACAATGAAATATGATCTAGTCCAGTTGGAGAAACTGATCTATGTGTTTAAAGATTATTAGACACCAACACACAACAGAGTGGTTTGTAATGCTCACAGACAGGATTTTACAGCTCTGGAAAGTCATCCTGGGGCAGCTCTTTTATCATTGGTCTCAACAATCTCAAGGTAAACAGCAGAAATATGGCATTCATGATACAAAGTAATCCACCAGGAATGTGTGCTTGCACGTACATGACTGACCAACACAGCGCTGCGCCAGATGCGTTGCAGAAAAAGTCCCTCATTTAAATGAATGCGAAGGGCTGTGTTTTTTTTCACTGATTGAAAGTCTGTGTGAATCCAGTGTAAGACCATACGCCTGACCCGAGTTGACAAAAGTCTGTATTGTATTTTCTGGGTATAAAAGAAATTTTTTGTTCAAATTAGGGAGAGAAATTTTGCACAGTGGAAATGTACCTTCTAAAGCTATTTAATTACTGAGACCATATTTATTTATTTGTTCCATGCTCTGTCTGAAAACACTGGCCAAACACTAGCAGCCCTGTGAGTGTGACCGTTCAGTCAGTGAACCTCCTTCATCTCACATCTCTGTTCATGATTCAATTAAGCAAGTATAAGATAAAACCCCTTAAAAATAAGATATTCGGGGGACCTTTTTTCCACAGGATTGGAAGAAAGTTTTATTTGGCATATACCTTACAGTGAATCTCTGTCAGGTGTTCATCAGGCTAATTGTTGAGCACTGTGAGTGTTCAACTAGAGCTAGTGCATACTGGTTATCTAATGAAACCATATGCGCTCTTGGCTGGAGTGAGTGCCCTTTCCTGAAAGGAGTGAAAACATGGGGAGCAGAGCAATATCTGACTTGTGAGGTCACTGCCAGTTCATCAGCTATTTATTGGGCAGAAGAAAGAAAAGTAAACTGGTTTGTTTTAGTTACAATTGCCTAAGGTGTAAAAGTATGCCTTTGATTAAGCAGTGATTTACATTTACATACCTCAGTGAAATGGACTAAGGATGTGGCAGTGGGCCAGTACACATAACGAATATTGTGACTGGCTAGTCAGTGTCCTTACCTGCCCATCACTGATGCAGTCATCAGGGAGCTGAACATCTTACAGCTCCTCTCCACATCAGTCTGCATCCCTGAAATGTCTAGTGGCTGCTGTAATGCTTTTGCTTATTCTGCAAATTATAATTAGTCTTGTCTAAAAAAGGGGAGAGCAACAGTAAATTAGACCTCCAGCAGCAGTACTGTTGTGTCAAGGGAAAACAAAGGTATAGTAAAATTTCAATTTATGCCATGGGCAATTGAATTGGTGTTTGGTTGACTGGAATCCGTCTCCAAGAAATGTTTAGGAACACAGTCGTGTTGCTTAGCAACATCAGGAAAATATCAACCTAGGCCAGATACAAAACTAATATCCTAAAAAAGTAACTTGTGCTGTCAAAACAAACAAGCATTTAATATAATTATATCTCCATATTTGGAATTACTCCTTGCTTTGCACAATTAGGCAATGTTTAATGAGCTGGAGTCTGAAAACAGCTCAGCAGTGGACAATGCTGAGCAGCTGGAAGCCAGAAAACTACAGAAAAAAAGTTAAGATAAGGACACCCCGCAGAGCTGTATGTGGAGCTTTAACTTATCTCTAAAACACTGCCTCTCAACTGCTGAACTACTTAGATGCTGTAGATATAAAATGAAGCATGAGTATGACCTATTTCTCCACTGAAACAAACTGATATTGGTGGTCTACTCAGATGGAAGGTGTTGTTATCCAAACAGCCACCACCTCTTTCAACTTTGAAAACCTAAGGAAATAGGCAGCCTGTCTGGTGCAGTACAGTTCCATGTTTGTTTAGTAACTGCTGATCTAATCATCTGCAGGGTCATTTTTATTCATAACACCACTAACCCACATAAATGCCACAGAGCCCTTCCCATTCTTCAAACAGAAAGAAAACTCTCCTGCTGCTCTTGGCTCTGTCAATTTGCAGCAACCCAGTACAGTGTTTTATAAAGGAAAGCTTTATAAGATGAGTTGTTTTATCGCCACAATAGTGCGACTAGTCTAGACAAAACAATCGCTGCATTCTTGAGGTCAGTCTGGGCCTGCAAAAAATCCCCAGTCACACTATATTTTAGCTCCACAAATAGCAGGAAATGTTTGATATCAGTCATGTTGTTACAACAACCAACAAAACAGGGCTAGTTCTAGATAATACCCAAAAGTCACCTCAAAACTTAACACTACCAATGCCCAAAACAGTGTTCACCAGATTGACTTGTCACCGTTTTTGTACATACAACATTCATTCACCTTAGATAACTACATAGGACACAGGGGATATAAACGCTCTAACGGCAGGGTTAGGCTGTATCAAAGTACATGCTGCAGGTCAGAGCAAGCTGGTTGGGGTTGCAGCTGATTATATAACACTGGGTCTAGGTTAGTAAGCCATGTTGTGTGGTGGTGGCATATTCTGACTTTTCAGGAACATAATCACCATTTCATAGTCACTTGGGTGATCACCGTGGTTAGAAGCTACTCCCACTGATACAAGCGCCAAGAACAAAAACAACATTAGTGTTCATTTTTGCTGGGCAGATCCTAGTCCCATCGTGTGCAAATGCCAAAACGCAAGGCACCTTATCCAACAGGATTCTTCAGGTCTGCATCTGATGAGCTGAGCCTGAAACTACACAGTATACAAAAACACCTGGGGCACATGTAAATGAATGTGAATGCTTGTGGACATGTGGTGGAGGTGTGACCAGAGAATGCCTACTTTCATCAGTAATTAATCTGCCAATAACCTTCTGGCTTAACCAGTGAACCGTTCTGAATCTAGAAACTGAACACGAACACGAACACGAACACA